TATAATGTGTGATGTGTGATGCATGAGTGAAGTTTGAACTTAATCGGTCCATGCATGTTCGAGATACAGGTGATCACGGACGCACGGACGCACGGACGCACACAGGGCAAAACATAAGTCCCCGTTTTCGGACTGCGTCCGAACGGGGACTAATAAAGGGTCTGTACCCAAAATGAAAAAAACACTCGCTGAAATTGCAAAATTGGAGATATCGTCTAGAAACATTTAAATCAAACGTAGTTCCATCCAATGTGTACCATTTTTACAAGGTACAAAATAATAGAATTGGCGATATCCAAAAAAGTCGCTTAAAGAAAATATGACGCAAGACGACGACGTCGACAAAAGGACTACTAGTATATGAACAACTCAACTTTTCATTTGTGATGACAGTGAAGCCAGACATATAAAAATGCGCCACAAACATGACACGATACGACAGATGAACTACCTAAATTACAATGAAATATGAAAATGCACTGCTAGTAAATGATTGATATAATCTTACACGAACTGAATTTCACTTTCAACTTAGCCGGCACGTTTGGGTCTGGCGCCCATGCATCGCCTTCGGTCGAGGTTTGTTTACCGGTCTCGATGTCTGTCCCACTGTTAATTACCCCAATAGTGCCGTCTTGTTTCAGCCAGTACTTTGCATTAATGCATTTCAGACCAGTTTCAAACGAGGCTGGAAATCGTTCAATCTCGTACCACCAACCGGTATATTTGTCAACGTTGAAGTCTGGTTGTACCACGACAGTTGGACACGACCCACGTGATATTACCTGTCCACGGACACTATTAAATAGTGACACAACACTGATAGCGAGAATAAGACAGCGACCAGCCATGGTGTTTACCATGTAATAGATAACCGCCAACTCCAAGGGGTTTCTGCATTAAAAGCCAAGAGGGCAATGCTTAAGGCGATTCCAAGTTAGACAGGAACGCAGAGGAAGCGGCGGTTAGCGACATCACATTGGCGTCCCCTCCATATCAATGGCCCACCAGTGCAAAAACACCCCTAACAAGATAGTGGTTGTTTCCAGCGAGGTTAAGAACCCCCGCCTTTTTTTCTTCTCATATGAGATATACATGTATTTGTAAAGAAGACGAAGTCAGACTCTGTATGCAATGTCATGCCTGCATTTTTAGTCATTATTTTTTCCATAATTAAAAATATGTTATGCGAGAGACGGGTTATCACGAAAGCCAGGTTATCGACTACGGAGAAAACGGCGCGTTTCGCGGTAACCCGGCTTTCGCCATTGACATTCCCATAAAATTTTATTGAATAACAAACAAAAGATTCTATGCAAGTGTCGTCTGACTATGGACTATAAACTACAACCGTTCCCTTTGTCTACAAAGAGGTGACCGAAAAACTATGCAACACTTTTTTGCTAATTTATTTTATTTTTGAACTGGGTGAATTTTTTTCTCTCCAAATACTTGAGCATGTTTTTCAATTTTGCCAAGTGACCCAGCTATTTTCGAATGGGCAGCCCATATGTTGAAGAAATTGCGATTGTTATGCGATAAATGTTAACACTGCAACGCATAGTGAGATTACAGACTTGTGCGTCGAGGCTTGCATCTTTTTATTGAACCTCGTGTTAAAATACACTCCATTATAGAACATTCTTATTCAACCCTAAATACTACTGCTTGCCGATGTACTGTTAACGTGGCTGAAGACCGCTGATAGAACAAGCCCAGAATTTAGTTAAAATGTTGCTAATATGTTTGTATGCATGCAACGTACATTGAAAAAACGGCGTTGCTGTACCCAAATGAATAGACCACGCAATAAAAATTCTAATAAAAAAACTATACGCACAGGAGATAAAGTTCATCAAAATTCGTGACTGTAGTGTCGTTATTTTATTTTGTATTTGAGTACTATTTGAATCGTATTGATTTTATATGATAAAAGTAAGCCGTTTTAAATTTAAATTCAAAATGAATTATTTTTTTAATTGATCCATGTTCCTCATGATGCAGCATACAATTCAACGAATATTTAAACACAATGAAATTATTTCAGGTTACGTATTGCCTCTCAATTTGTGTAACCTTTGTAGATCTCCACACATTTGCATTAAAGCGGAAGGGTCGTCTCCTGCACACGCGTGGGAATTGAGTCTCCAAGCGACGATAACAACACGCACTAAAAACGCAGAGGCTCATGTGTAGACGCTTGTTTGTAAACAATGACAGGTTATGGCCATCTGGCGCATGCGCAGGTGACGACTGCCTCGCTTTAAGTTTCTTGCCGTACTAATACCCTGAATATTACAATTAACTATATGGTAGCTACAGGGTAATGGGCTAACATAAAAAAAGGTTTGCGATGGCAAGACTGGAAGGAAGAGTTGCATTATACACTACTCAGTCTAAAATACAACAATGTGAGAGTTAAAATTATCTCCACATACTGTTCTATTCCCACAACAGAGGCCAATCATTACAAACTAACACGACAAGTATGGATATTCCTGCAAAAATAGTAATTTTCGAGGCATGTACGAGTTCTCTTGATTTGTGTTTATTTCTCAACGATCAGTAATGTATTTATATTTAATCGTATATATATTCTATTTTACCGGCCGATGATCATAGTGCGAATTAAAAGCAAAACTAATTGATCAATATCGTATAGCCAATCTTATGACCACCAAACGCGCCGTCACTACGATGAAGCACATTGTGGAATGATCAACTGGGGTAAGGGGGGGGGTTCACTATCGCGCAAGTTGGCACTATAGTAAATCTGCCATCGTTGAGTATAAAATTTCATGTCAACCTAACTACTCTGCACCATTCATCTTACTGCGTTATAAATAACTTAGTAACACAACTTTTCCAAAAAAAGATGAAGTTTTTATTATTTCTTTTATTATTAAAAAATACAAAAAGTCAACAATGCATGTGGGAAATGCAAAATCAAGTCTTTGTAATTGTAATTGTGAAAGACCGAGGAATCAACAATAGATTTATTGAGAATCAACAAATACAATTCTATAAAAAAAATGACATTGTACTTGAATAACTATTATAGCCGAATATAAAACTTGCGCAGATAATTTCAAGTCCACGTTTTATGCTGTTTTAGTTTGTGTATGATATATTAATGAGCCTACTTCAATCTCTTGCTGCTCTGCTACTAAGCTCTCGGGTATAATAAAAAGTAACACTGAAAACGACAGAACGGCAATGACAGACAGATTGGAGGGAACGTCTAACTTAACCGTGACGTCACTGTATTTCTTTCGACGTAAAATAATGTGACTTATGAAATCTACAATTTCGGGCTTCTATGTATAGATGACTGACTGACCCTCGCCCAATGGTTTATATTTCAAAGTGTTATCTTTAGCATCACAACCAATTTGGTCAGTGGATAGGAAGTTACTGATATCAATACCACGATCTTGTATATCTCGTTTGATGTCTGTCAGGGTACCAGTATTTAGGATACGATCACGGCTAAGAATCCAAGCAAATTCCATTTTGATGAATCCGAACATGAAATCGTCACAAGAGTACACTACAGAATAAGTGTTGTAATCGGTCCTCAGAACCCAGTAGTCACCCGCCGGCACCCCTATAAAAATAATACACACATTTCTCTTTAATATTGGTTACTAGTATACACTCAATGGTAACGTTACTGTGGCTAACATAACGACACTTCCGCTACAATCCGTTACTACATCCTGTTCTCATACAACTGTGTCACCAAAATTATTAGCATAGTACCACCATGCTGGCATCAACCCTTGCAAGTGTTTCAGATTCAGAACCTATTTTTTTATATCAGCTTATCCCAGCATTGATGTTCTATGTTCACATTGTGTTCCAACCCCAAATGCCATTGTGCGAGTTATAAGCAATGAAAATGCTAAACGCCAAAAGCTCGAACAGCAAACCTTGAAATGGCTAAAATGCCGGGAAATGGTCGTCTGCTGCTTTTAGTATGTACTTCGTAGTATTTAATGTATTATATGCATCATATATACATGGGAAAACTTATTTGTAATATTCTCTCAAAAAATGTAGGCAGTGTATGCATGCAACTAAGTAGACACCGACGAGTTCGCTCGCTTTACGGGAGTATCCAACAAGTTATCGGGAATACCTTCTCCGTGACGTCATATTGTCCTTAGCGAAAATGGCTGCCACCGGAGTTGCGTGAGGTTCTGCGCACTAAATTCCGGGGAAAAGGACATCAAAGTAATTTGTCACGGTTTTGGTTAATGTTTAATGAACATTACTGATTGGCGTTAGAGAAAATATTCTGCATTTATCGATTTTTATTTGCGATGCAATTTGGCGCACGTTTGTGGAGCAAGTCTCCAAGCCAGCAGCCAATTAACAAAATTGTATACAGGTACAGGCATGGTGATATTCGTCCTCGGGCATGAGGTTATGCTCTAACACAAACAAAAAGTCCATTTTAATAGTCACATAAAAACTAAAATTCAGTATTCAAATACAACTCCGCTGATACTGATACTCAAATACTGATAAATGATTGATATAGTCTTACACCATCGGAATTTCACTTTCAGCTTAGCCGGCACGTTAGGGTCTGGCACCCAGGCATTGCCTTCAACCGAGGTTCGTTCACCGGTCACGATGTCTATTCCACTGTTGATTACCCCAATAGTGCCGTCTTGTTTCAACCAGTACGTAGCATTATTGCATTTCAGACCAGATTCAAACGAGGCTGGAAATCTTTCAATCTCGTACCACGAACCAGTATATTTGTCAACGTTGAAGTCTGGTTGTACCACAACAGTTGGACACGGTCCACGTGATATGACCTGTCCACGGACACTATAAAATAGTGACACAACACCGACAGCAAGAACGAGACAGCGACCGGCCATGTTGCTTACTATATAATAGATGACCACCAAATGGCAATTCAAAGGTGATTCTATATTAGACAGGAACGTCGATGAAGCGGCAGTTAGCGGCACTCCCACTATCCAATGGCGTCCCCTCCACATCAATGGCCCATCATTGCAAAAGCACCCCTGAAATCGATAATGGTTGTTCCCAGCAAGGTTATGGACCCTCTTGCTTTGTTTGCATACAGGGTTTGACCTAAATTTTAATACAGCTTTGTGTTTATTTTTGTGATTTTCCTTAATAATTAAACACTGTGCAAGCCATGTTACTAAGCAAAATGGGAATATAAAATTCAACCGTTCCTATCGTCTACAAAGGAACGAACCATTTGAACTTTGGGTGGGCAGAAGGCAGAAAAACTGTACAACCTGTTTTTTTTGTGATAATTTGTTTTTGTTTATTATTATTAGTTTTTATTTATTATTGAGCTGGATGAAATATTTTTTTATATACATTTACTGTTGTAGATTTTATTTTTTCTTGTTATTTAACCCTGTAGATTTCTTTTTCCGTGATTTTTTTCTGTGCATTTTTTATTTTTCACTTCTACCATCGTACCTCAAGTTTTTTTCTGGACAACCCCCTAATCCGAGTCATATTTATTTGTGAGCATGTATTTTTAGCGAATTTAGCTAGAGAACTGATTCGCTAATTCAAGATGTCGCTAATGACTTTATTATAAATTCAAAATGGCCAACGCTTGGGGGATTTGTATACAGTAAACATAAAAATCTGGGGCACTTCCTAATTACACTGGACAGTTTTTCTTTGTTTTTATGGAGGTGATAACTGCGCATTTGTTTTGGCGCGCGATAGACAAGAGAGATTCGCTAAATCAACATTTTGCTATTACGTCATTTTACCACAATTCGCTAAAATTGCATGTCGCTTTTTCAACATGTTTTACAGTAATTTATACAAGTAAAATATTTCGTAGGTCATTTCCTGGCTAGGAGGAAATACAATGATCAACAATGATTCTTAATATATCTGAAATACTGTTGATATATTAGGAAACAACGTATTTGTGGTAAATTTGTTCTCTGGCCTTTCACTGCAGAGCAT